CCACAAATAACGTTCACTTTTTAATAATGAGACATGCCTTAGGAGTTTTTTCTCTGTCTGCTCTTTTTGCTCAGTTACACTACTGTCTCGTGTTAACTGACATCACCGCTTGTGAGTGTATTTCTTGAAACAAGCTAGTAGTCGTCAACAATTGTGTCAGCGACTTCTTTACAATGTTTGGCTGTGCCGATGCATTTCTTAAATAATATGTACCAACAGGTAATTTAAACGCGTTTGCGTATATTTCCTTTAATGCAATTTACTTGACGGGGGTGCTGTGGTAACCTCGCAACAATATTGTGGTGGCTTAAGTTAATAGGCGAGAAGCTACCGACTACGAGCTACGGGCTGCGTTCCGTAATCCCTCACTTAAATTTATAAAACCAGGTATATGGGCATGGGTTGCATTTTTTCTGAGTTTCGGCTTAGTTGAAAACGTGTATTTAAAACAAACAAGGGAAGCCAAAATAATATCAAATCCCATGAAAGGAGCTGTTTCGTGACAGAGAGGGACGATGGCATTTTAAGCATCCAAATGTCGTGTTCGCAATCACAAAAAACTTAGGCGCCAAATTGCTCCTAAGAAGTGCATGTTTAATTTATATTGTTGGCGATTCCTATGTGCTGTGAATACGGCTCTACCGACGGATACCCACATTTCGGATTCATCTTGTGCGGGTTTATGGTGAGTATGCTGTTTAACAACGATTACATTTTATAAAATTGAAACATCCTTTTCCCAGATAAAAATTAAAGAAGGCGAGGATCACAAGATGCACAGTATTTATTCACGTCATAAATTTCGTGACGTCTAGTTCATCCGCAAACTGTCATTGCCTCTTTATATAGTAAATCAACTGTTGAATTAGGATTCAATTTCACAGAAGCGTGTGTCGGAAAGATGTGACTACTGTAGTAATTGGTTTACAATATTCAGGCGGCCGACCTATATGACGAAACTCTCAAAAGTGAAGTGTTCTATGAACATAAAAACCGAACGAATTTTAGGTATTTAAAGTATAAAGTCAAAAATAATAAATCTCCTGACCGAATTCCACGGAGAAATAAAATAAACTTAAACAAAATCGTCTTCTGCACGTATTTATTAGAAAGTAATGAAAGTATGCAAGTGGGGACACCTTTACCTGATTCATCACTATGCGCATGTTAGAACATATTTTAACGTTATTTTTTGAATTCTGTAAGGCTCTAACCTTAAACAAATTAACAGCATACCGTTCGAAAAAGCTGTCAAACATGTAACCTACTTAAGAAGAAATTTATAGGATATGCGGTCTGTTTTAGTATGAATGAACCATTAACATCTACCAGAACTCTCTGACAATGAACAGGATCCCCACACTTGGAAGCCCAAACGGTTTGGTAATGCAATTTAAACAGTCGGAAAAAATAACATAGTAAGACGCATTTTTCAGAAAAAAGCAGGAGTTAAAACAAATCAGAATTTATTTGCGTATGACTAAATTCCTGAAACCCTGACCCCATTACCAACTGCGCTGCTGAAATTCCATCTCCAATTTATTCTTCTTCTTCTGGCTCCCCAGGTCCCTAGAAACAAACAGATACAACAAAGCGGACGTTATCTCGTGGGAAAACGCTAATGAGGCGCAATCTACTTGCTGCCTTTCAAGCACTGGTTCCAAGCCCTCACAAGTAAGATCAAAACGGGTCTAACCTGTAAAACAGCGGTATTTTCGCTGCATGATCAACATGCTTCAGTAATTTAGTTTGATCTAGTCATTGAGTAAAAACTAAACAATAAAACCGTGAACACTTCACAAGGGGTGCGCAGCAACAACACATCCTGCTAATGTGGAAGTCAAAAAAATGGCATGGAGACAACAAAAAGCAACTATTATTAATTAATTATGTGACCGAGTATTTACCGGCTCTTCTTTATTGGGCGGATCAGTTGGATGTTTCGGTTTCTCCTCAGGTCCCTAGAAGCAAACAAATACCATTCAAGTAAATGGAAGCAATATTTTTTTTAAAAATGCAACATTAATAATTGATGTAATTACAATTTTCACTATTATCGCAATCAATAGCCGCGCGGTTATAAAGTACCAGACAGTGAAGTTAAGCTCGAGACAGATCACCGTCCAAAACTCGGGATATGAATGCCAAAATCAGAGGCGACGATGAGACTTTATTGAGAACTTTGAAGTTTTTGGCTGTTAATTTAAATGTTCATTGGAGCCAAGTGGGCGTACTTTATGTAAAATATGTCGCACTGGAATTATTTTCAGGACTTCACCGAAGCGGACATTATCTCGTGGTTAAGTGACTTGCGGCCTTTCAGGCACTCGTTTTATAACCTCTCAATTAAGATCAAATGCCTATGTCATTCGTAAAAGCGGTTTTCATGCTACATGAACAAGATGTTTCAACAGTTTACTTTGAGCCAATCATTGATTAAACACTAAACAATAAAAACCGTAAATACTCAACGAGGGGGTGAGCAGCAACAATACATCCTGCTTATGTGGAAATCAAAAACATTGCTTGGAGACAGTTTATAAGAAATGATTATTAATCAATTGTGTGACCAAGTATTTACCTGCTGGTCCGGATAGGGTTCTTCAACCTGATTAGGTGGTTCTTTTTCGTGGTCTTCGTCTTCCGATTTCGCAGGTAGGATGACACCGAGAAGGACAGCGACAAACAGGGTCAATGTCAGCAGTCGGAAAGGCTTTCTTGTTTCCATTGTTTGTACCCTGTGGAGTATGCAACAAATGCCATATTTATACTATTTTAGGCATATTTTGCTGGTTGTTAAGAGGTGGTTGAATAGTTTATGAATATAGTCCGGCGTCGATTGGTCACTTTTCGCTTACCCGGAAAAAAAGTGGCCAAGTCGACGCCCGATCGTAAATTTAGCTGATTCCTCTTTGGTACGCAATATTCTCTTAGTTTGTCATGTAGCTGGTGAATTGCCTTGCTCCCTGAATGGGCAAAATGCGGTTGGGGGTCGGAAAACTTTGGAATTTGTTTTTTTGAAATTATCACGAAGTCATACAAAGACTTTATAAAATTCCCATCAGAGAATTCACAGAGGCAAGTACGGAATATATATGTCCCAATACGTCTACTAATGGCCTCACTTTAAAACTTAAGCTGCTGTATGGTAAAGGATGAAAGTGCTGTTAAGATTGTTTTTTCCTTACACAAATACTGTGCCACCAATTGCGCCATCTCCATTGTATATTGTAGATTAGTTGTCCAATTTTGGAGTCAAAGTAACAGCACATATAATAGCTTCCGTAAATTTAAGTTGCAGATTAATTGCAAAAAAGGCAGCGCGTTTTACAGCTGGAGTCTCTTGCCCGCGCGCGGTTTGAAATTTTAAGCAGAGGCGTGTCAAAAGAAGAATACTTGTTTTCAACGATCAAAAGATAGCGTGTCAAGAACAACACACTGGATTTGCGTACAAAGCAGTATCTTAACATAATTTGTTTACTGAACAAACCGTACCACAGTATTCTTCTCCTTAATCGCCATTTGGGTCTAAATCCATCTGCTCGCACGGTCACTTTGTAACTATCAAAGCAGAC